TTTTTTTTTTTTTTTTTTTTGGTAAAAAATTCTAATTTAGGTGTTATTTTTAAAATTTGGAAACTTGAAGTTAATTGTAACGGTTGCATGAGAAGTTATTAGTTGTGTAATATATTAATTACTTCACATTTTAATATGATAATAATACATAAATTTTGCAAATAAGAAAAAATATTAATTTTCATCAATTACACATTTTTTGTATTTTATCAAACAATAATTACATTAAACAATGAGAAACTCGTGAGGACACCCGAGGTGTCAACGTACACTACTAAAGGCAGTATAAAGGTTGGATCCACCCCTGTTGAAATTGCGCCGTAGGTACAATCACTATCACTCGCANNNNAAAAAAAAAAAAAAAAAAGGAAGACAAAACAATTCCATAAAAGAAGACTAAAGAAGTACGCAATTGAGTTTAAACAGAACAACTGAAAGAACAACAAACATAACAACTACAACACACGCCTAAATGTTACAATAAAAGTCTTTTTCACTGTCGTTCAACACTATCACCCGCACCAGCGGGGACAACACCCGAAGGCAATCCAATAAAGACAGTAACATGACCCCGACAGGATCAATAAAACCCCAAACTCTATAACTCAATAGGCCAAGGTTAACTCGTTTCGAATCGGCAAAGTCGAGACCTCCTTCCAAACATATCGCCTCCGAAAATCAACACACGGAAACCAACACCCATCATTTATCCCAACGCCACATGGCCCACACCCACAACCCCGACCCACTTTGATCGAAGAAGAAACAAGCCACCGTCAGAGGACATCGATCTCTACCTCGGAGACACCGACAACATCCAGGAGAAGTAAACAGAGCCAACCCAAGCCCAACAACCGAAAGGCTGGCGAGCAGAGCTGACACTTCCATCAACCCTCTCAGTCTGCTTCAAAACCCGACAATATGGAAAACTTCCAAAAGGAGACCAGATGAAAGGATTGGGGACGACCGGCCCGCATAGAAGCAAATGTACAACGACATGAGGAGGCGCACCAAAGATTTTTGGAAATGATAGTTTGACTGCAACTTGGGGGTAATTTAAGCTATGTTTGGTAAAACTAACTTATAACTGATAAACTTATAAGCTAATTTTGATCGTGTAGCGGATAACTTATGAAATATAACTAAAAAACTAGCTTATATGATAAAAATGTTTGGTAAAATTAGATGACAAGCCATCATAAATAAAAATTTCAACGGGTTTACTTGAAAAAATACCAAAAGAAACTTATGATATAAGTTCGAGATTTATTAAAAAACTCGTCCTATTAAACTAAACTTATATGAATACAAAAAAACCTATAAACTAACAAATAAACTATAAGTTAGCTTATGGTGTTTACCAATCACACTTTTTCAGCTATCAACTAGTTTTACCAAACCTAACTATATAAACTAACTAAATAAGTTGTAAACTAGTTTATGGCGTTTACCAAATACATTATAAGGTGATCAAATAAGGTATAAACTAATTTATGTTGTTTATCAAACATACTCAAAATATTTAGAGCGTGTTTGGTCAGCACTATAAACTAGTTTGTAACTTATTTGATTAGTTTATGAAGGTTGATTTGGTGTTAAAAAAAAAAACTCGAACTTATCTCATAAACTTATCTAGATAGTTTTTCAATATATTTATTTCAGATAATTTATTAGTCAATTTTACCAAACACTTTTGTTGTCAAACGGGAATTAACAACGGTTCGATTGTAGTAAATTTAGAGTACAATCAAATATTCAGCGATAAGAACTGGTATTTTGTAAAAAGAGATGGAATGTTTATAGTAAAGTCTTATTGTTATTGTCTGTCCTTTGGAGATTTATTTTTTCTTCTTTTATATTTGAGTACAATATTTATCCGTACAGTAATCATTACATTTTGAAAGGTCAAAGGCGGCTCTTAGCTGCTTTTCTTGATAACTCGCCACTTGGACAAACGTAATGATGATTTATGCTGAGTTGTCGCCGCCTTACCATGCTGAGGTGGCATGTTATAAATATCGGTTCATCCAGTTATAACCGATATGTTGTAACTGACATATGTTGACCGACGTGTGTTGACCGACATGTGTTGACCGACATGTGTTATCGGTTAAATAATGGAGATGTCGGTTCTTGTTGAATCTTTCATCGTGCAGCCGTCTTGAAGTCGGTGGAAGCGTCACGTGTTTGCACGAGTCTTAATTATACTTATACCGACCCAATCAGCGGATTAACGTCACTTAATTTGGCTTACTGAAAATGATATCAACAAGGTGGCCCCCAACATTAATGGTCGTCCGGACAGAAAACGGGCAATGATGCTGAAACTATAACGGAACTTGACTAAATTTTTGTATTAATGCGACATGTCGGTTCCGTCATCTGCATCCGATGTCTTCACACTTGTAGAAATGATATTTGAAAGTTGAAACGATGCGCTTTATTGAAATTAATTGCACCGTTTTAACAATAGGGGTAACGGTCACTTAAAATAGGCCACGTAGCTGTTATAAAGAGGCACGATTTCCAAGGGTCACGTCGACTCGCAGATCCAGAACGTGTAATCCACGCGCCCCTATTCCCATCGGTTCCCAACGGTCGCTTTCAAATCTAGGGTTTGATATAAATAGGAATTTTTCTTTTGAGATCTACTTTACTTTCATCTTCTTCTTGCACTCATCTTTTTGGCTTTCTTTGCAAATTAATCACTTGTCAACTGTACTCAAAGCATTTCAGATCTACGAACGACTTCCTGTGGTAAGAATTCTTCATCGT